TCTTCTTACGTTTCTCTCCGAACCTCTTATAAAGCTTTCATATCTGTATTTATATCCTTCACTGTGTTTTCCGAGCATTCGTCATTGTACATCGAGGAGAAATCTTTTACATATCAATTTAACGATACGTTGAATGCTTTTTTTCTTCCGCTTTATACTTTAAATCAACAGTAGTTGCGTGGGATCGTTACAAACTTACCATTTTCCCTTTCAACTTTTCCCTTTCAATAAAGATGAAAGGATAATTAGGTATATTTCTGTCTCTCTCCACCCCCCCCCTCTCTCTCTCTCTCTCCAATCTATACGTGTTTATTGCGAATCGCAACATGCACGATGTTAAAATTAACAAAAATGTTTGTGTTAATTGCTAAGGCCGTTCTTAATATATAAGTTAGAACGCCACTTGCAGCAACTAATTTTATTTTAGTTAGTATTTAGTGAAAACAATTCTCATAATAATGTCACACACAAGACTCTATGCAACTACTGTCCAATTACCAATAAGCGATCGGATTGTTACACTAACGAATACATTTCAAATACACGAAAATTTCGATATGTAAGATAGAGAGATTATATTATGTTTTCATAGCTATTTTACAATTTGTTCATAGCTGTTTTACGAAATGTGCTCGATAAATGTTAATTGTGGCCGCACAAAACACCAAAATTTTTAACTTCATAAGTTATTCACAACGAAAACGGCAAGAAGCGCATTTCAGTGATGTATATCTTTGTTTCGCATCTAAGCTGTGGTAGAATACAGTACCTACGCAGTATCGAGATTTATCCCCGATTACAGACGGCTCGCCTCTTAACATTTAACGTGTATATTTAACGAATTTAATGTTAAATGAGTAATCCGCATGATATCGATCATTATGAATATAACGAGTTCCGCGAATTGTAACCGCGATGTTGATTGATGTGAATATATGCAGATAGCAAACAATTTGCGAACAGTTTAACATCGCAAATTGCTCGCAACTGCAAGGCAGTATTCCCTTATTCGTCCAAGAGGGAACTGTTATTTGAGATGGCCATAACCAAATAGTGAAGTATTATAAAAGTCTCGTGTCATATACTTGTCGATTATCTTTCGATTATGGTGAGATTATAGTAATGAATTTAATATTAAAGTCGGATGGTAACTCAAAATGAGAAAAATAACAGTAATAATCGAGTAGGAGTGCGAGCGCGACAAATATATATGTCGCAACCCAGTATTGTGGTCACCTCCTTGATTTCAATGCGTGCTAGCCCAATATGTATGGCATTCAATCATATACATACTCACATACATGCACAAAAAAATTAAATCGCTATACTTATAAGTAATATTATTGTACACGGTATGACATCGATGTTATTTAATGCACTATTATTAAAGTATGAACTCTGTATCATGCCAGGAAAGCAAAATATTGAGAATACTTCTCTTACTTGAGAAGATCGAGCTAAGATTTCAGGAAGACACAGGTCTAATATTAATTAATTAATGTAGATTCGTTAGGGATCTTAAAAATTAACGTAATCGGTTAAAGTGTTGCAAGATATACAATACAGGTATAGTCCAAAACAGATACATAGATTAGTAGATGAAAGGGCGGCCGTGCTCGACGCGCTTTCTCGAGCGGAATGATTCTTACTGGGCGCGAGCACGTTGATCATGCACCTAAAGAGAGGAAGGGAGAATCGAAATGTGACGCTTCGATGACCACGAACGGACCACCCACGCGGGAGAAAGGGTTGAATCGAGGTTCACGATCGGCTCGTTGGCCGCCACGTGCTCGAAAACCGCCGTGACTTTCGAATTGGCTGACATTCACGCGGCGGTCGACGTTTCGATGAACCTTGAATCGAAGCTGAATACCGACGGTGATGACTTTTGACATACTGCGTGCGAAGTGCGTGCGATTCAATCGTGCGAGAAAAAAAAACCAGAAACGATAGAGTTGTAATGGATGACGAGTACAAGCGGATGATTCGTTGCGGTTCGTGGTGATTTCGAGCGTAATGGAAAAAAAATGCAAGGTGTAACAGTTCGAGGATGGTCTGAATGAATGGCGGCCTTTTTGATATCTATTCCAATTATAGAACTTTAATATGCTTGTATCGATTAAACATCGTGTTTTGGAATAGATTCAATAATGTCGCTATTACTTTATATTTTATAGTTTACTGCAACTTATGTGTTTTCCATCAAACGAATTAGACTTAATTACACCTCCCAAGAAGTCGATTAAGTAATTTAAAAAAAAATGAAAGGTGAATATCTTTGTATAATTTATTTGAAATTCAGATTATTGAATTCTTTTAATAAGGAACATAGTATGATTTCAAATTACGGGAAAATGATCGGACACCATTTCCGCATAATTTGAGATGAAAAAGTTGATTAGAAAGACAATCCCTGAATTCAAGATCGATGTAAGAAGAGCGAAAGATCGAGGAATCGCAAACGACACGGCGTTTCTTTTTAATGATAAACTTGTAACGGTACTTAAAGTCATAAGCATATTTTTAGTGGTTCACTGAGAGGACAACGAATCAATAGAATGAGTACGTGTCCTGAACGGTGGAATCTATGGATGACAAGAAAAGATCGAAAGACGGACTATATAATATAGAGCAATGTCCGTGTAGTACGTCGCGTGTAGATTAGAGCGCGCTAGAATTATCACTTATCATACGATGAAAATCTGTAAGTAAGTAACAGAGTAGCTCTTCCCCCTAAGCGTAAATGGGGAAGGAATTAGATTACACACATAAAATGCGAGTTCTATCTGTCATCGTTAATTACTAAGAATTATCAGGCAAAGCTCTAAGATGAAACTAGTTAAATGTAAGATTATAAATTTATAGCCTCTAGCGAATACGCGAAAAAGTGTAGTACAATATTAACGAGAACGTGTATAAAAATATATAAAGAGTATATAAATAATATATATAAAATATATAAAAAAATATAAAGACAAATATATATAAATGCAAACGCATATATAAATACAAATATGTAATTATTCCTATGATATCGTTAATCGTTAGTTAACACGTAAAGATGCTCGTTGCTATCGTGCATTTGTCGTTTAATCAAAGATCGATAGCGAAAATGTCACTTAAATAACTTGAAATATTATACCTTGAAAATAACAAAAAACACAAATTTAAGTACAACGAGAGGTAAAAATTTAAATATTTTATTCGTTCGAAAATCGATTTCAGTCTCTTCTGTTAATAAGAGCGAAAAACGCGATGAACAGCGAGCATAAACAACCATAAACGTTCAATGATGATCACGATGCAATAGTCCACGAGATGAGATGTAGACAATATAGAGTAGATCGCATTCCGAGGTGAGAGGATACCTCAGTCGGAGCATGCTGTTTTTTGCCTAACATATGCTATTATAAAACGGCATTTGATGCGAAACATCCGATAAATATCAAAGATCAATCGGATGAAATTATTAATTTAATTTTCAATTTGAAAGGGCATTGGACACGTTGTTTTTCGGCGCATTGTATTCATATTTGCGCCTTTTTGTAAAACCTTTGTATCGGTATTTTATATATTACGATAAAAGTATAAAGAAATTTTCTCGTGTTAAAATGTAATATCCATTAAGACTTCTCGATTGTTAATCGCGATCGTGGAATGGTAATCCATTACGACAAATATTTTTATTTAGCTTTCATATATGATATTTTCTCAAGAACAACGATTTAATGATACGGACAAAAATTATGATGAGATTTTTTGTATTATTAACGTTTTATCTGTATGGATGACGGACATGGTAATAGTTTTTTGAAATGTTCAACGTTTCGATGTGGTTCGTAATTAATTAAACAGAAATACCAATAGAACAATAGCAATTAATACGTTATTCAGAAAATTTATTTTCTGAATAACAAAAAAAGAAAAACATGAATGTATGAACCATTACTTAGTCCCTGTTGCCATAATAGATTATAAAACATTTCCAATGTTTCCTAGTCATTATGGTTGTTATGATAAATCTTACTCCTACATGTGTTAAAACAATAGATCGCGCGACTATAAATGTCCATTATGTTATATATACATAAATATATATTATACGTGTTACGCGTTGTCACCAAGGTTACCATTACTAATATATTACCACATTAATGTGAAATAGAGTAATTAATGCAAGTCTCGAGGTGTTTTAACAGCGAAATGTTATAAATATTAATGTGTAATTGTCATAACACTATGTAAGCGCAATGGTTCTTTTTCCAATTATTAACGATTATTAAGCGATACGTATAGATGAATCGCATCGATAATAAAATGAAGATGAAACGAAGTGATATATTAATCATCAATAATATCTCTGCAGCAATGTTAACAAATGAGATATCCATAATATGCATTAGATACAGGGCGTTGCATACTTCAAAGGCGCTCCGATGTAGAACCTGTTACATTATTATGTTCAATGCAATACATAAGCTGAACTGTAATAATAAAAGCATATATAAGCATAAAATCACATGCATGCATTATCATTTTTCTTTTATATCCTGATACATCCTCATAGTGGTATATTTTTATAATATATTTACATATGAAATTCATGAATAGTTAAAAAGAGTTACATACGACGATAAACTTGATTGTTATTAGTATTAATCAACTTTTATTTTCATATACGAGTCTAAGAGTGAGTACACATGTTAGTTAATAATTTCTACAAAAATAAAAAAGAGAAAACAATTTACGCATAAAGAAAACAAAAACACATTGATTAATATTTAAATCGTACACTGCATATTTTATAATTATTATCATCACACGTACATATTAAAGATAGATAAACAAGTCACATGACGTAGAATTTAAAGTAACGACTTGTCGAGTTCTGTATTGAGAGAACAATTTCGATACATCCCGGCGCGACCGAGTTCGGCGCTGAAAGAATGGTTCTGGGGATAATAAAACGTCGGCACTGTATGAATTGTCGGTGCGTACCAGCCATAATTCATAGAAGTTCTCCAATAACAAGGATGAGGAGGATTGTCTTGACCGTAACCTTTAAAAATTTCTGAAAAACATAAAAAATTATTAATAATTAATAAATAGTATAGAAAGTACAGCATTTTCCATAATATTTTCGCACGCATGTACGAAAAAGAATTTTATCAAATAAAATGTTCAATACAAATAAGCGAAGACCATATTTGGTCAAAGCGCGTTTTGGTGCCTTAAAATATTTTTGTGAAAATGTTACAATTTTCAATTCAAATAAACTGTGCACCGATTATAATATTAGATATCAAAACTCGCCTTGATCGAATATGGCTTTCTTCGCTTATTTGTGTTGAATTTCTCATTCAATTTTCATTTAATATTGTTAAAATAAGATGCGTTTAAATTATCTCTGTAGATTTATATGATCAAGAGTCATAATCATGTTAATACATATTCGGGCATCTATGAAATTTTTTTATAGATCTTCGGAAATAAAAATATTCATTTTTTTGTGTGTGTATATCACTGTTAAATATAATCTAATATTTTCAGTTTTCTCGGACGTATATTTATAAATACAAAATCATCTCGCTTACGAGCTCTAGCTGATTCCTGGAATCTATGAATCAATCTCTGTACAATCGTACTGTATCTGATACGCCACGCTATTGCACTGATATTGACCGTGAACTTTTCCAAAATCGTCCACTAACGAGCCGCGTACTTTGAAGCCGGGATCCACAGTTACGTTTCTCATTCGCGCGAATGCTGCCATGTCCACATAACGGAGGTCGTTGTTGTTCAAGAAAAGAAACAGTAAATTATCTAGACCCTGGAAGGTATCGGACTTCAGCACTGTCAACTGATTGCCGTTCAGCCAGAGCGAGTTCAATGACTTCATGTGCCGAAAGATATTGGCGGGAATTGTTCTCAGTCGATTCCTACCTAAGTCAAGCTCGTTTATTTCGCTGAGACCACGGAACACGTCGGGGTGCAAGGTCGAGATCTTGTTGCGCGACAGATAGAGAAGATCTATATGGGATAGCCCATTGAACGCGCCGATCGGTATCTCCGGTATGTCATTCGAGTCCAGGACTAGCGTTTCGAGCTGTCTGAGTCCCTTGAACATGTTCCTCCTCAATGCGAGCCGGTTGTTGGTGATGTAGAGCTCGTGCAACTCCGAGAGACCCTTCCACACGCCAGGTCGCAAGTCCGAGATGTTGTTGTAATCCAGCAGCAGAGTCTCCAGATTATACAAACTTACGAAAGCACCATCTTCTACGTTGGTGATCGTATTGTTTTTCAAATCCAAATAGGTGAGCTGATCGAGAGCGTCGAAGTAATGCCGGTCGATACTCGATAGCCGATTATCGCGGACATAGAGAGCGGACGAGTTGCTAACCTCGATGAAGGCGTTCCTGGCGATGTTAACGATCCCGAGATTCTCCAGATGTAACTCGATATCCTCAATCGTCTGAACAGCGTTGACGTCCTCGAAAGCGACGCTGTGAAGAAAACTGCTGTTCTCCAAACAGACATACAGGTGGTTGTAAACCTGACAGTCGGCGTCCTCCGTGAAAACATTCGCAACGTTAGCCGATAAGAGGAGATAAATGAGAAGGAGGAAGCACATGATGTGCTCGGAAGCTGATTGTGCACTAACTTCGTACGCGTCAAAGTTTCTTCGCGTACACAACATTTGCGAGATATTATTACGCAAATATATATATCAGCGATAAGTTATTACACGCATATCTACTACGACATAACATCGCATTATCTTAGACTTCATAATTAATTTATAAATTATAGGAGCCCCACAAATCGGTAGATAATGTAATCTTAATAACGTTCGTTTTATTTTGTTTTGATAAAGCACTTAGTATAATCAACATTGGTCGATTACACCAAATGCTTATCAAAATAAAAAAGCATTTCTTATTTGTGTCAGAGGCGGTCCAATTAAGTCTTTGTTAAAAGTGTTGATTTTTTTGTTGAATTTTCAATATATCCAAGTATTAATTAACAATGTGATTTAACATAATGTGATTGTTATTTGAAAATTTTAAATTGATATTCAATATTTTTTAGTGTTAAAATAATACAATTTATGAGTAAATAAATAAATAACATAAAAATAATGTCTTTTAAAAAGTAAATTCTAAGATAAATGAACAAAATATGTTAATTTAATATATTATATTATAAATGTTAAATTTATTGAAACATATCAAGTTAACATGTTATAAATTATAACTGGTATTAATTTTTATGAAGAAATATAATTACTTTGTATAAATTGTATCAGTTTTGTGTTTGTATTAATTTTTACATAACGTTTGTGTTACTTCCTAATACATTCATCTTGTGTTAAATTAACACAACAATTTGATTGGACCGTTTGGGATATGTGAAAATTTAATGTGTTAAATTTAATATAAATTTTTCAACTGTGTCAATTAATTTCTGGCTAACAATAAACAATTTTTTGTTACATGAATAGAATTTAAATGGCTTTTTGAAATTAAATACGATTAATAACATAATATGTACATAAATATTTTTCTCGTACTGTTTAAAACCAGTATGTTCTTTAATTGTAATTGCAGGTACGAGAATTTGTTGGACTTATTGTGATATGCGTGTATATACGTAAAATCATATTTTAATAACTAAAAATAATGATAATGATAAATTTAATAATAAGATAATGAATCGAATAAAAAAATACGATCTAAAATTTGATATATTTTTAAGTCTAATAATATTTTTAAGTAAATTTATATGTAAATTTTAAATACATCTTTTATAGTTATTTAAAGTGTACGTCGATTATTGTCGGATTGAAAACGCAATCATAAAACCTAAAACTAAAATATATCATCAATTTAATTAAATAAAATAATAAAAATAAAATAATATTACACAATTTCAGCAAAAATGTTTCTCCAAAAAATTCTCGGTGTTATAAATTAATGATTAGAAATGATTCATTTCCTACACTTTGCAAGCAGCCAATATGACTGCATACCGGAAAACGACGAATTATCAGTGACGAATAACAAGACCATATCAGGATCTCACACTTTATACGACGTGCGACGATAAAAGATTCAGGCGCCGCTCGGTCCACATATATTATGCGATTCGCAACGAGTTATTTGCAAAGGATTCATTGGGAAATACATAAAAATGCTTGTGGGCAGATAAGATTCGACGAGTGCAGTGATCGGCTTCGCCAGTTTATTAATAGCTGGAACATTATCATGCTAGCTGCTTGCGACTTCTGAACCAGAATATACAGTTAAACAATGTATTATCTCTTTTGTATCTGCAACTAATTTTATCCATTATTTATATTAAAAAATAATCTTACCTTTGGCAACTCAGCTTTCTGTTTCTTATACATTTATTTAATGAAATTTTAATGAAGTTACTTTTTACGTTTATATTACATGATATTGCCATGTTTTAATGTATTTAATGTAATTCATGATATTTATGCACAGCTTTTTTATTCTTTTATGTTTATACAGATAATGCAGGAAACTTTAAAAATGAAACAGTAAGATATCTAAATGAAAAGCATGGAAGAAACAGCAGATTTTACGTAGCAATTTAATTGAAAAAAGAGCCAGCGGGGCATCGTATTACGCAGTTGAATTTGCAATATTGAGTTTGAAAACGGTAATACGTAAATCGCATTGAATTACGTCCGAGAAAAACGAAATTCAGTTGTTTCTACATTGTGTACTGAATGTTTTTTCGATTATTTTGCTAGAGAATTTTACTCGAGATGAAATATCATATAACAAATATCAGTATCTAGTATTTTCCAAACAACTCACTTGGATATACGAATCTTGATGGAAGATTATAGGTTCGGTAAACATCGTTTGTACGCGGACCAAGCGCGGACAATTTTTCGTCCTCGTAATCCGAAAGCTTCTCGTTAGCACAAGAGCACGGTATATCGACCATTTCTCATTTAGATTAACTCAATATCGTGTAATTTAATTTATTCCAAAAACACTTCAATATTAGTTAACACGCTTTGCGTTTGAATTCACTTCTAGAAAACAGCCATGATTACTCGGTTACTATAGAAACGACATTATTACATACGCGATCGATTAAACACAAATGTACAAAAGTATATAATATATTGAGGCGAATTACAAGGTTTTACTTATTTATTATTTAAATTTTGTAAATAATACATTTTATTTTAATCGATTTAATCGTATAATTAGCCAATGACGCAAATTGCGAATTACTGTTATATAATAAATTGTTAGAGTGTCATATAACAATAATTATTATCAGCTGTTGTTGTAGCTAATAAATTAAAGCAAGACAATATATGTATACTAACGCTATTATATAATACTAATTATCCACGACATATAATTATGGAGATATATATGCAAATAATGTGCATTTATATCCAATGCATAATTATTTATAATTGTAGATTATAATTCAACATAATAAAATAATAAAATAATTTATTGGAAGATCTTTCTCATTCTCTCTTTCTTTAAATATCTCTATTTACACACGTAAATATCCCTATTTACATTAAATGTATATGTAATGCAATATAATTATAAAGAGTGCTTAACTCTTGTTTAGCAATTTTGATATTGGAAGTGAAAAAAATGAATTTATGTAAAATTTGTATCAATTGTTGTATTCTATAAACTCTATGACAATTATTTATGCATTGTGTAATATAACGAAGTATATGTAATATTACAAAGTTCTTTATGCATTACAGCTTCTCATATGCAGCCAAGTTTTAAGTACGGAAATGGAAATTTATGCACATGTATAGAACCAGATACGGGCCCCTTCTAACAGTTTTCAGATTAGGGTCAACAGACTTACCTCGGTGAATGACTATGAGGCAACTGGACTGTATTTTACATTTAAATAGTTTTGCATTATATATTGCGCTAGTTACATTATCGCGTTATACACTGATAATAGAAACGGTTTGTTGGACCATTTGGAGGACAACAGTGGTAAAATATGGTAAATAATTGTAAGCATGGCAAAGTGTGATAATATATAAATAATTTTCTCACTAAAGAAAATAAATGATCTATATATACTAAATATATGATCTACTCTGCTAACTTTGCTTAAAATTGATATATTACGGACAATGAGTTATCCTTTAAAAAGTAAATATCAGTTAACTGCGATAGACTTATTTTTCTAATAATTTATTAATATATAAATTTATATATATAAATATATAAATTTAGTACTCTGTCTTAAATTAATTTACACACACACATACACGTATAGTATATATTATATATGAAATTTTAAATGTAAAGAAAATTTTATCGTTTCTTAAAGAAAAAGACGAATCGCAACAGTTGTATTTTTTCTTCAATAGTTTTACATACAATGAACATAAAAAATAAATATAAAAACAAACGTAAAATAAGAAATCACAAATTGATGTTATATTCATGAAATAAACATTTCATATATTTGCAAAACAAATTAGTTTTTCTGTTTATATGAAAGAAATGTTGTTTATCTGAAAACCGAGAATGTTTAATTTATACGCTACGGTTATACATAATGTTTACGAAATGTAAATGAATGTACAAACAAAGACATGTCCATTTTTCAGTTCCACCTCCATTAACTAAGCCGACTGACAACACGCATGTAGGTATAGACTTAATGAAACGATTATTATCACCGACACTTCCAGTTGCGGTCTGGCTACCAGAAAAGAATTACTAGCTCACGATAAAAAGTACGTTGTATTCAAGAAATTAAAAAAAAACTTAAAAATAATTGTGTTTATATATAGTTTTCTAAAATGCGATGTCATAAAATGTTCACTAATATCAATTACCTTAAAATAAAATGAATGTAAAATTTTTAACTGCAAAAGATATTTGAATTTGTTAAAAATAATTTGTATACTTATAGTGAAGTGAAAATTAGTGCGTGTTTATAAATACAGTGTCACATTTTGAAACAAATATACGCAGAGATTGCGAAAGGACTAATAAAAAATTAATATTTTCTTCGTACGTGGATAATCTTTTGAATATATTCAATCTTATCAGTAGAAATACATCTATAAATAAATTTTAAATAACTGCACAAATTTTTAATTTTTAATTTTAATTTGTCTTATAAGTATTCATAACATATTAAATATATTCAAGACAGAATAATGAGGAAAATAGAGATAAATATTATATAATTAGATATAACTAGTGACGTATATGAAGGTTATCATTTATCAATGCTTTTGTATCCTGCAGTTAGTTCCAAGATTACTCATCGGTTTACTCAATTGCAACTGCAGCTTGTAATAATTTTTTTGATAAAAAATATTCTTATTATAACCATAAATTATCAAACATACATATAAAGTTTCGCGTCTTATATAAAAAACAATATGGAAAAATATTGTGTAATAACTCTCATATGAAAAAAAAACTTTTGATTGATAACACTGGTTGACAAAAAAAAAAACACCTGAACTAGTCATTTCTATATTGCTCTATTAAGTCACAGGTTTGAGAAATTTACAGTTGAAGGACAATTTTTAAGTATTTTGTCATATTATAATGATAGGGGAAAGTTGCCGAAT